ATTACTAGCAGTAGATACCAAATGTAAATACAGAATGTTATCATTGAATGTTTTATTTATATTCTTATTTTTAAGTAATTAGTTGATATTTTTAAATAGTTTACTGCGCAATTTACATATTAACAGATAGTTCTTCAGACAACGAATTCCTTAATTTTTGTGATTGATTTTTTTGAAAATGTCCTTTCACATTGGACTTGAGTAACTGATAGTGTGCAGATGACTATAAATTTCTTATTCCTTTTTCTTACTAAAACAGTTCACTGTGTTTGTTTACTAATTTTATTTGATACAGAGGGGCCGCCCTATCAGGAAAACACTCCATCAGAGGCACACTTGCCATCGAAAAAGCTGATAGCATAGCCAGCATCCCACTGTCAAAGATTTTAAAAATATCTTTTAAAATTAAAATGACTGCAAAGGAGAATAAACCCGCATCTGAAGACGTATTAATCTCCAAGAGGATATATTCACTTTCCAAAGACGTGTTATCATGAAGTTCAGTATCTGTTGCTAATGTTGGCTGATTTAACATGTCAACATTTGGGGGTTAATTAATATCGAATTTTCTATAAGGCACGCAGTGAGGATCAAAGACACTAGTAATTATTAACTAGACTAACATCGGTAACCATCATCCCATGACAAGGTGGCCACAATGCTCGGTTTGATCATTTTGAAATATATAACACTTTGTGGATTATATAATGTCGAATTTCCAATGTTCCTCTCGAATTAAATATGTCCTGTGAGTGTTAAATTCTCCAAGCCTCCAGTTTCATTATGCATCCCAAAAATTCCAATTTTCTCTTTTGAACTCTAAGCATCATTTTTGTTTCCATTTTCTGTTAAACATTCTCTTTGCTTACATGTTCTATCTATCGCATTCTCAGCATCCTTCTGTAGAATCACATCTCTGTTGCCTCAGATCTCTCCTTCATTTTTGACGAAATTTTTCCGCAATCACTGACTTGGATTGATATTGCACAGCATTTCAGCGCCTTTTATTTTTGTTTGTAACTAAATTTTCTTGTTTCTTAATACTTTGCTTAGCTTTTGGCAGACATCTTTTGCCATTCCAATTTACCTTCGAATTTCGGTGTCACATTATACGTCAGCTGCTAAAATCCTTTCCTGACAGTTAAATGTCTGTAATTATTTTTACATCTCCAATTTGTAGCTCACATCTTGCATTGTTTCTTTAGCTGACTACTGTACATTCTATATTCTTGCAATTGATGCTTAGTCTTTTCATCTCGCTTTCCTTTCCATCCGTGTCCTGGAGTCCCTACAATTTCCTGCTATCAACACAATTTCATCTGCATATCATATTTTGTTAAAATTGTGACTACCAATAAGGAATCTTGGGAGGACGTCTAATTCTCACTAGGCGAACACTAATTCTTTACACACTTTATAGCATTTTACATTAATTTTCCTCTAATATTATGTTTAAGAAAGATTATAAAAAATTACTAACTATACCTATATATAGAAAAATTAAAAACAATACTATTTTATAGTAGAATGACCAACAATACATTTTATCTGTAGTTGAAAGGATACAATTACGTTCAAAATATATTTAGTTGAAGCCATAAAATTGTGTCCAAAATATTTAAATTTCGGCATTAAATAACCCATAGCGGTGTTGATATATCGCTAGACAAAATCAACCAACCAACCTATATCCGAAAGAAATAAATACTTATCGACTCGGATATAAAAGACCACTACTTACATATACCAAGTAAAATTCTAATTGACTCAAATATAAACTATCAGTATTTACCTATAGCAAAAATATTTTTAAGACAATAGTGTCATTAATAAATTTTATTTATGAAAGCAATTAAAAACTTTTCTAATTAAATGTCAGTTTTATTGCATTTTTTATTTTATGATTCGGAGCAGATTTTCGGGAAATGAGTAGCAGTTTGAAAAAAAAAAATTGATGATTTACATTCTCTATGGAGTCCTGCTTTTAATTGATAACAAAAATTTTGGGATGAAAATTTAATTTTTCGAAATTTCATCAAATTAAGAGGGAGTGCATAACATGTTTAAAAATATTTTTTACCAAGATTTTCTAAAAAAAAAAAATTCAAAAGTAATTTCATTCATTAGTGAATAAGTAGTGAAAGTTTTAAAATCTGACACAATTATTTGATTTTTGCAAGAATTTCCAATTCAATGTTTTCCCCCAAAAAGGCGCTAAAACACTAATCATAAATATTACGTTGACCGCTAACGCAAAAAAAAAAAAAAATTTTAACAAAAATTTCGAATGTGCTAGAAAGGATTAAAAAAATTTAATAAAATAATTAAAAAAATACTTTGGTCTTTCTTAATAATAACAGAAACATTTTGACGATAAAACTTTGTTTTTATTAAATTTGTTGCTTTTTTCATCATACTATGCTGTTTTTTCAGCGAAAAGGTAGAGGTAACTACTATTGTATTAATGAATAACCAAGATTTACAAGGATTGTTTCAATTTTGTTTTAAATTTTAATTAGATATATTTATTAAGTCTTAAATCTTTTAAAATTCTGTACTAATTTCAGTCTTTTAGATGATATTATTTTTAAGTGAAAACTATATTTACT